TGTCGAGAAGGTCGTTCGATCGGAGGGGGCTCAAGTAAGGATTGGGGGGGGGACTGGGGGCTGCTGCACAGAATACATGAAGGTAAAAAACCTTGAGCCTTTAGAGTCACTTTAAAGTGTTTTCTAGCCAAAACGTTTTTGTATTTTGGGATAGAGTAGAGGAGTTCTTTTTTTTTTTGCAAATTAGTGGAAATCTCCTAAAGTGAGGGTAACTCCCCTCTTAGACAGTACTCCCCAGAACAAGTGTCCCTAACCTCTTGTTCTATGAGCAACTCTAAAATTTTGGATTCCTCCTCTTTCTTGTTTCTTAACAATAATCACCACTACAAATAGATGGGTTAATCTTCCCAATGGGGGTTCAGACAACAAGAAAAACTTGAAATAAGGTCTAACCCTTTCCCTCTACCCTCTATAATTTATATATTCATAAACATTAACTGAGAAATCTGTTTTTAAAAGATTTCATTCACCTATCATTTTTAAAGGTGATTTGTCTATGTGTATTACAGCAGCTGATAGGTGAATCTTGTTCAGTTTTAAATGTGAAGGATAAATCTTGTTTACCTGTAGCATCTCTCTATTATGTTGTATGCTAATGGGTCCATTTTGTTTCACTTTAAAGGATAATTTCACCTTTTGAAACATGTTACATGTTCTACCTCTTTTTAGGGTGGAACATGTAACAAGTTCCCAATGCTGCAGCCATTGCTCGCTGACAACCGGCCCCATGAAAGAAGTACGGGGAGAATTTCCCTGTCCTAGATGTCAGATTAAAAACAGCGCGGCTGTGCTGTTACCTGCAAAAAAAACGCATTTATTATTTTTGGGTAAAAGGTGAACTTATCCTTCAAATATGATTGGTGAATCTTGTTTTTTATCGAATCTCCATATGATGAGTGCTGATTCAGATGAATGGTGCTGGTGAATATTGTTTGAATAACAATGTGATGTTATCTTGTTTGTTATTGGAATCTCTTTATTATACAGTATGATGATGGATAAATCTTCTAAAAATGATAGGTGAATATTGTGAATCCTTAAAATGATACCCGAATGCTGTAAAATACAGACAGAAGTACTGTATTTCTAGCAAACATTCCCTTTGCAGATTGCATAAAAACAATCACAAACCCATCTAGCACACTACAAGTCCCAGCCTTCAAGTTCCAATGTCTGTGGAGATGGGGGGAGCAGATGGATTGAAAATACCCAAAAGATCCTGCAGCTACCAATAGACCCGGGAAGATCCAGAAACAGCTTGCACAGGAAATCCTTTATACGTGCAGTTGTGCTCATAGGTTGGCATACCCTTGTAGAATTGGTAATACTAAATGTTAGTTATAAAGTGAGCAGGCAAAACATATTTCTTTTATTTCTATTTTATATGGGATTCATATTCAATGTAGGTCATAACAGAATGGCACAATCATAAAACAAAATATGGTAACAATTAAATTAAATGACCCTGTTCAAAAGTCCTCATACCATTAGTCCTTAATACTTTGTATTGCCCCCTTTAGCATCAATGACAGCATGCAGTCTTTTGTAATAGTTGTCTATAATGCCCTGAATTCTTCCAGGTGATATAGATGCACATTTGTCTTGGCAAAGTACCTCCAGATCGTATAAAGTCCTTGGTCGTCTTGCATGAATCACATGTTTGAGATCTCCCCAGAGTGGCTTGATAATATTAAGGTCAGGAGACTGCTGGTCACTCCAGAACCTTCACCTTTTTCTGCTGTAATCACTGGAGGGTCAACTTGGCCATGTACTTAAGGTCATTGTTGTGCTGGAAAGTCCAAGAGCGTCCCATGCACAGCTTTCATGCAGAAGAATGCAAATTGTCTGCCAGTATTTTCTGATAATATGCTGCATTCATCTTGCCATCAATTCTCATAAGATTCCCCGTGCTCACACATCCCCAAAACATCAGTAAGCCATCACCATGCTTCACAATGAGGATGATATTCTTGTTGCTATAGGCCTTGTTGATCCCTCTCCAAACATAGTGCTTATGGTTGTGACCATAAAGCCTTATTTTTGTCTCGTCATTCCAGATTACAGGGTACTAGAAGCTGTGAGGCGTGTCAAGGTGTTGTTAAGCATATTGTAACCAGGATTTTTGTGGCATTGGCACAATAAAAGCTTCTTTTTGGCAACTTGACCATGCAGCTCATTTTTGTTCAAGTATTCTTCTGACAGTTGTGGCTGCAGTATTTCTTGGTCTACTTGACCCTGGCTTGGTATCAAGAGATCTCTGAATTGTCCACTTCTTAATTGACTGAACAGTACTGACTGGCATATTCAAGGCTTTGGATATCTTTTTATATCCTTTTCCATCTTTATAAAGTTCCATTACCTGGTTACGCAGATCTTTTCACAGATCTTTTCTGCTCCTCATGGCTCAGTATCTAGGCTGCTCAGTGCATGCACGTGAGAGCTAACAAATGAATTACCTATACATACACAGACACTAATTGCAGTTTAAAAAGCCACAGATGTGGGAAATTAAACTTTAATTGCCATTTTAACCCGTGTGTGTCACCTTTTTGTGTCTGTACCAAGGACAAACATTCCAGGGTATGTAGACTTTTGATCAGGGCCATTTGGGTGATTTCTGTTATCATTATGATTTAACCAAACAACTATGTGATAATAAATGGCTTCATATGATCACTTGCCTTAAATAAATTAAAGCTTTTTTGGAATGATCAGTCATATTTTCAATATCAATGCCAACATTTCAGCCTGCCAGGGTTTGCAAGATTTTGAGCACAACTGTAGATACCTAGTTTGTCTCTAAGAAGTACCATTTTTAAAGATTAACTCCAGCCTTACCTTCCTCCATGTACTGAAATTGCCTATTCTGATTTCACTGCACACTGTGAGCTTCTTAGAATGTGCATTAGACATTGCATCAAGCCATGTAGAGCTTTCTTCATTTTCTGGCTGGAAGACATCCAGAATCACCTATCCCTTTTCTCCCTAGCCTGACTGGCCCCATCTCACCCCTTCAATTTTTTGGATTTAGTTTCTTTCAATCATGGAGGCATGTACTTAGAGTGGTCTGTGTGCAAATGCGATCTGCCTAGGAACCTCCACTTCTCCAGACTGACATCCGCCTATCAGGTTGATTTGATATTTTTGTGACCCCTCCCAAAAGCTAGCCCAGTGCAGGAGTACAGAGGCAGGGTGCTCTTATGTTTTCAGGAAGCTATGTTCAACATTCTGCTGGCCCCTCCCACCAGCTATTGCCTGCATGGCATAGAGAAGCATAGCAACCTGGTGATGTCATTGGGTCTAAAATAAGGCATGTAATGAAATAAAAAGGTTTTATTTAAAATGTATTTATCAAGTAATTATCAAGTTGATGAAGGAGGGAGGAAGGAAGGAACCAGCGAAGTCCAAATATAAGCAGCTTTAAGCTGAACATTTCTGGAAACTTTCATTATAATTCAATTTTCCAGTTTATTCATTTACTTCCCTGCCTTTGAACCACTCCATAACTATTATTTCATTTTCATTCTTTGGTACCCAGAAATGAAGATGCTGCCTTACAAGTAATTTATACAGAGGTAATACTATACTAACATTACATACATTTTTGTTTTTACAACTACCTCTGTGATGTTGCAAAGCTTACTGTTGCCTAGTATTCTTGATTTATTCTTGCCTACAGGGCAATATTATTACCACTACCTAGGTTACATTTTTCACTCAAATTCAAATTAACATATCATGTAACTGTATATATTAACATTTTAGCAAAATACTTCTATGATCTATCATATCATTTTGTGTGAAAGGAAAAAAAATACAGTCTATATAAAAAACAGATACTCAATAAATAGATTAATTGAAATTAGTCTCCGTATAACACTACTGATTGCTTTAGTCTGTTTTAAATATCTTCTACAATTATTATTTATTTTCTGTCTATTAACCCCTTTGCACCGGTGCCTCCTTGCCCTTAAAGAGTTTCAGAAGCCGGGAGGCGGGGCAGGGTTTTAGGGTCATGTGACCGCCGTGATTCGCTGTCATCACATCGCTGTCCTTTCTCAAATTCTGGACCAGTTTAATTTAAAGTGGAACTGCACTGCATCTGAGCACCACAAACCAAAAATGCTGTTTAATTAATTGTTAATATTCACTCACTCATCCATCCATGCCTCCATGCTTTACTTTTCTGAGAAATCACTTTGAAACCCCCCCCCCTAGCATTTCTGGCCGTGGCCATCTTGAGTAAAGGCAGATGATTCATGTAGCATTTACTTCCTGGAATCCATCTGCCCTTTGCTCAGACATTGGCTGAGAGCTGAGAACCCTCCCTCCCCTCCTGAAGACTGCAGGGATGTATGACATCATTTGCCAAGGTATGGAAACCAGGAAGTAACTGAAGGAATGTAAAAAAAAAGCTTAAAACTTACCTTCTTATCTATTTACTAATGCTAGCAGCATAAAGATTAAAAATAGTCCATGTTGATTGAGAGACTGAAGTTCCACTTTAATCCCTTTCCGCCGACGCCTCCCGGCCCTTTAAGAGATTCAGACGCCGGGAGGCGGGGCGGTTGGGGCGTGGTTTAGGAATCATGTGACCGCCGTGATGACGCGTCACGGCAGTCACATGATCAGGAAAGGTCCCGATCGAAAGAGCGGACCAGAACCTTTCCGTGAGTACCACACATGCGCGCTCTCAGCACATATGTATTTAATTACATGGAGGCAAATGTGCGGCCGCTCGGCGTCTAGGCCCAGACGCTGGGTGGCCGCACATTTGTGTGCGGCCGGCGCAAAGGGGTTAACCACCTCCCGCCTGCCATATAGTCCAATGATGGGCGCAAGGTGGTTCTCTCGTTCCGGGAGGATGTCATATGACGTCCTCCCATTCTCACCACGCATGCGCGGCTCAGGGAGCGTGCAGCGTGGCGATCGGCAGTGCGCTGTGTCCCTCGGACACAGTGGATCACCGATCTACGGAAAGAGCCAAAGATGTCGGCTTGGTCATGTGATCAGCTGTGTCCAATCACAGCCGATCACATGTAAACAGGAAACTGCCTGTTATCGGCATTTCTCTCCTCACGAGCTGACAGCTCAAGAGGAGAGGAGAGCCGGTAATCGTCATTCTGCGGAGGGGACATGTACAATGATCATCAGGGCACTGATGATCAGTGTGCCCTGATGATCAGTGTGGCCCCAAAAGTGCCACCTGTCAGTGTCCATCAGTGCCAGCAGCCAGTGCTGAACAGTGCCACATCAATGCCACATATCAGTGCCTACCAGTGCACATCAATGCCACATATCAGTGCCCATCTGAGCTGCCTTTCAGTGTCATCCATCAGTGCCAGTCAGTGCCACCTATCAGTGCTGCCGATCAGGGCCGCCTATCAGTGCCAGTCAGTGCCGCCTGTCAGTGTGCATCAGTGCCAGTCAGTGCCACCTATCAGTGCCAGTCAGTGCTGCCTATCATTGCCATATATCAGTGCTGCCTTTCAGTGCCCATCAGTGATGCCTGTCAATGCCCATCAGTGCCACCGACCAGTGCCTCCTCATCAGTGCCCATCAGTGCCACCTATCAGTGTCCATCACTGCAGCCTCAGCGCACATCAGTGAAGGAGAAAAATCACTTATTTACAAAATTTTACAACAAACACTAAGAAAAAACATTTTTTTTTTTAAAATTTTCAGCGGTTCTTGTTTTTTTTAAGAAAAAATTAAAAACCCAGAGGTGATTAAATACCACCAAAATAAAGCTCTATCTGTCGCTAAAAAATGATAAAAATATCATATGGGTACAGTTTTGCATGACCGTGCAATTTTCATTCAAAGTGTGACACCGTTGACAGCTGGAAATTGGCCTGGGCAGGAAGGGGGTATAAGTGCCCTGTAGGCAAGTGGTTAAAGACCAACGTTGAAAGCTTTTGCAAAATTCAGACATCACATTATTAGCATTTCCAGCTTCCAGATTTGATTTTACTTTAAACTGATAACAGCTAATGACAAATAAAACATTCTGTGTTGTAGCCTGAACTGACCCCTAAGTCTGCCATGGATGCCTGCAGGAAAGAAAATCGCTCAATTCCCCCATCAACACAATCAGTGTTGATGGAGGAATCCCTCCTGCAGAGCCATTGTGTTCACTGTGCTGTGATTACTTCTAGTGGCTATAATGGCCACTGGAAAAAAATTGCATGTTGATCAATCGCTCGATCAACTTAGGTACATTCACTCGGCCCATACACCATCCCTGCTGAACTGGCCAAGATTCGAACTGTCTATGGCTGGCTTTATGTTGACGCATCACGGTTTATTTACTAAAGCTGGAGAGGGCAAAATCAGGCCCACTTCTACATAGAAACCAAACAGTTTATAACCTCAGCTTTCTTTGGCAATAAAACCTGGAAGCTACGCAGAAGTGAGCCTGATTTTGCACTCTCTAGCTTTAGTAAATAAACCTCACCCTGTCTTTTATAAACTCGTATTGCTTATCTATTACTATTATCTGCTATATGTTTTTTGTATAGCATCCCTTAGATTAGTTTATCAGTTATTGAGCATATTGGGCTAGTACACATGGGTGGATATCATCTGAGTCACATGCTTTAACCCCCCTGGCGGTATTCCCGAGTGTAGCTCGGGGTAAAGTTTCAGTACCACAAGCGGTAACCCCGAGCTACACTCGGGCTTACCATGCAGCCCTGCTCCGCGATCCCTCGGTCACTTACCTTGTCCTTCGCTCCCCGTGATGTCCCTCCTGCAGTGTCCCGGGCAATGTAATCCGGCCGATGCCGACATCTGTCTTCCGGGTTCCGTCCCCTGATAGTGTCGGGATGTACGGGGACAGAACGGCGGGAAATTTAACTTATTTAAAGGGTTTCTAGGCTTCAGAGAGCCTTTATATTAGTGCAGAACACTGTACCTTTAATTTAAATGCCCTTGGAGTCTGCTGGGGAAGAGAAATAATACTGTCAGTCAGTATGACATGCAGATGAGTGCCGTTGATCTTAGAATCACCGCACACTTCACTCATTTGGGCCGTCACGGGGCACGACGAAGAAGAAGAAGAAGAAGAAGAAGAAGAATGAAAAGAAGAATGAAAAGAAGAAGAAGAATGAATGAAGAAGAAGAAGAAGAAGAAAAGAAGAATGAAGAAGAAGAAGAAGAAGAAAAAGAAGAAAAGAAGAATTAAAAGAAGAATGAAAAGAAGAATTAAAAGAAGAATGAAAAGAATGAAAAGAAGAATGAAAAGAAGAAGAAGAATGAAAAGAAGAAGAAGAAGAATGAAAAGAAGAATGAAAAGAAGAAGAAGAATAATGAAAAGAAGAATGAAAAGAAGAAGAAGAATAATGAAAAGAAGAAGAAGAATGAAAAGAAGAAGAAGAAGAATGAAAAGAAGAATGAAAAGAAGAAGAAGAAGAAGAATGAAAAAGAAGAATGAAAAGAAGAAGAATGAAAAGAAGAATGAAAAGAAGAAGAAGAAGAAGAATGAAAAGAAGAAAGAAGAAGAATGAAAAAGAAGAATGAAAAGAAGAAGAAGAAGAATGAAAAGAAGAAGAAGAAGAATGAAAAGAAGAAGAAAAGAATGAAAAGAAGAATGAAAAGAAGAAGAAGAAGAATGAAAAGAAGAGAAGAAGAAGAATGAAAAGAAGAATGAAAAGAAGAAGAAGAAGAAGAAGAATGAAAAGAAGAAGAAGAATGAAAAGAAGAAGTATTCCAGTACAGCAAAAAGTGTATCTGCAGAGAGCTCCGCTATTTCTGACAGTTCTCTGACAGTTCCTTCACATTTACAGCGGTTGAAACATTGTATCTATTTATTTCCGAATAAAAACATCTGTATCCTAAATGGAAACAAATAGATACAATGTTTCAACCGCTGTAAATGAACTGTCAGAACTGTCAGAAATAGCGGAGCTCTCTGCAGTGACACTTTTGCCGGCTGATCGGAAAAATTTGATTCGTGCACCCGAAGTTTGCTAAAATTCGGATTCGATGCAAATCGAATTTTTCCTGAAATTCGAAACGAATTCCACTTCGCCAGGTTCGATTCGCTCATCTCTAGTCAAAAGTGGTTTTAGAGCGGCTGGAGAACAGCGATAGTAAATCAGAACCACTTGCAGAATTGAGTGATAATGATTCGTGGGGGAAATTCGTCATCAGACACTGAAAACGATTCTGCGACTTTGCTCAGTGATGTGCGAACTTGGCTCTATATTTCACATTTCAGTGTTTTTGGTTTGATTATATTATTGAATTACATTTATTATTATTATATTATTATTTTTAATGATTATTTATTAAATTATAATTTATGATTTCGTGTTTCAAATTTTATCATACCCGGGATGTTTACTAGACTCTTGTTTCTCTTGTTCGGACAGATTTCAGTGAGTTATTCCTAAAAATTACAGGCCTACAATAAAAAAAATACATATTTCCATGCAAAAAAATGTACCGCTTTGAGCACAGAAATACGGACATAATCAGGGAGGTTAATTGTGTTAAGGCATCACCCTATTATTGTTCTCTGCAGGTGTATGTCTCAATGTATCTCTTAGAGGTATAGTAGAAGCATAATAACTACAACTCAGCACTATTGGCCAATCTGAATCTGTTAACCTGCCTTTCAACCCCCATGGTCAAACTCTCCCTGATATATAAACTAATTATTGCAAAATAATTTGAAAGTTATCCCTTCTTTATTTCAAAATGGGAGAAAAAAATGTGACATAAATTTAGTTCCCAATAAAAGATCACAAATTGTGTCACACAATAGATGCAGAAAAAACGATTTTTGTATATTTCTAAACCTGGAAGATATAATGTATGCAGTATAAAACATCATGTTGGTCTACCTTTGAAAAATTTAAATTTAAATTGCATGCAGTAAAATGCATAGAGCTGTCTGAGAAGATGCTAAAGTTAGTTTATTTATGTGATATTTACTACAGGCAATCAATACACATTTCCTTGCCTTTGCCTTCTGGAATTTTTTATTGGATGCATCGTATCTTTTACATACAGATCAAACAGATCATATGGTATATATTTACACAGGATTGTTCCATTCTTTTTGGCAGCCATATTTAAGTCACACATTTTGTCATGCAGTTGAACAGTTAGTTTTCACACCTTTGAAAGAGTACTGCATAGGATTGTAAGGGAAGGCAGGGGGGTTGATTTTTAAAGCAAATAAACTGTTTACTTTGCAAGTGGCATTGCTCTCTGCAAGGGAATTTGCTCCAGAGTTTAGTAAATAAGGGGAAGCTCTGCGGACTTCCATCACCCAATCATGTGCAAGCAAAAGCTACAGTGATTGGCCAACTCATTACTGTTTACCTTTAAAACACTTGTGCCAACACACCACCAGTGGTTGTGATAGCATAGCTCCTGCTTGACCCAGATGATATCTTCCTTGATATACTTGTGTATGTCCTGACTTTCCCTAACCCTCTATTCCTTGCTACTGACCCAGCTTGTCTTGACTATGCTTTTGACTGACCCTTCTGTGTTACCAGTCCCACCACTACAACTCCTCTGTTTTGAATGGCACCTGCTACATACCAGTCTCTTGCTGTTCCGCCTACACCTGCAGTGGGGCACCACCAGCCAGCTTGCTGTCTACAGTTTTGCTTAAAAATGATACTAAACCCAGGGCCCTGCATTCACTATATCTGGTCTCCCACAGAGCACAGTACATGGAAATGAAATTATCTTAGTAAATATAAACTGATAAATACCTTTTCTCATCAGCAGCTAGAACAGTCTTGTGACTTCAACAGAGCACTGGTTAAAGCTTGTAGGAGGAGTTTTCTTTCTACTCTAGGAGGATGTAAAACCTCTGACCCTCTGTCTGGACAGTGCTGATTGACCCTGTGCTGATCACATGCACCTTATCCCCCCCCCAAAAAAAACCCTCTCTAGCAATACACACCAAACTGAGCATGTACATGTGGCCACGGGTTCAGTCTGTATCAGGTGGTCATTTCAACAAGAGATGGAGCAGAGAAGAAAGGATCAAATGGCCTTTTTACACAATGCAGAGGATTAACCCCTTAGGTTCCACAGTAAGTATAACAAGTATGCTTTACTGCCTATACAGACTGATTTTACTCTTGTGGGTTTAGTAACACTTTAAGGTATGTGCTCTTGATTTCTGAACTTTCTGCACAATCAGCACATCTGAATTGTTTTACCTGCTATCTATCTCCTGGCCTGGCATTCCTGGTGTTGCATATAGCTGCCTGAAAAATAAATGATAGGCTATGGCTGTATGCAGGTGTGAACATGTAGACGTAACCCTGCGGACACGGACCGTGTCTAATTGAAAATGGCTGTACTCAACACATATGCCTCCCGGGTGCCTGAAATTCAGCTGCATTTACATGATATTGTCCAGTATGCCCATGTGCATGAGCCCCAACAAGATTCTATTCTCAAAAATCCCCTGAGATTTCAATGCCTCTGTTGTGAACTTTGAAGATGAA